TTTTTTTGTGCCTGTGTTTTTATTATTGCGTCCATTTGAAGATAATGATCCCTATCTCCGCGATTACTAAATATTTGAACTTCTATAACCAGCACGTCGTATAAATTATAAGTTTTTCGAATTGAGGAAGTTTGAGAAGATTGATTTAAAAAATTATCGAACTTTTCCTTAAAACAAGTTCTTGCTATCAATGCAGTGTTTTCATTTTTTTTATCCCGGGATTAATGCAAGCAAATCCCGGGATCTTCGGAACCTCAAAAACAACGAGATCCCGGGATCCCGAAATGATAATATAAAATTTCGATTTTCATTTTATTTGTCCTGCTTTTTACGTGCTTTTCACAATATATACTGCTTATGTAGGCAGAAATATTTTCGGAAAATTATCTCGCTAGGTGTGGAGATATTTTGAAAAAAAAAAACCGTATTTATGGTCCGATTTGGTTTAAATTAGGCGTACGTAGTTGAAACATAGTTAGTCATAAATTTACGCTGAATTAACGCTGAGGTCAAATAATAAAGTATATTCGACATAAAATTCATGATAAATTAAGAAAAAAGAAAATTTTTTAAATAGTTGCTTACATGTATCTAATAGGAAATTTTTTTCACATCACGCCATGTCACGTAAACTTTCACACTTTGTGTTGTAAAAGTATATTGAAACAAGTTTATTAATTCAACAAACTCTTAAACTAAAATCACTCCAAATCACAATAAAACATGTTTCATGAAAAGAGTTTTGCGATTTTGTAAGAAAGGAAAAAATCAACTTCCACTTTAGTCATATAACGCGTCACTCTCATATGTACATACATATGTATAAATTAAATTTACATACGAGATTTATAAGATATCATATTTCAGCATTTCAAGATAAGCTATCCAAATAATCTCTCTAATCTTTTAAAGAAGATAAACAACAAAAAGGAACATCGGCTAACAAATGATGATAAGTGCAGCGTTATTACTGTTACTCACAGTTTTTTCAGTTAGATTTCATAGCATGATGAGCTCCAGTTGGGATCGTGTTCGCCTACGTGTCGAAACAAAAGAGGTGATTATTTCGAATTAATTTTTTAAATTTAAGCTTAATTTCCACCAACTCCCCTTTTCATTTAGGGTTTTGAACCGGCTGTCGAAACTAATGTGAGTGCTGATGTACGTACCATATCTGCACATATACTGGACACCACAGTGGGTCAAGCTGCACCAAATGTTAATATTACAATTTATCGCCTACAAGGTGGCGATGATTGGCAGAAACTGAATGTTGAAACAACGAATCAAGATGGGCGTGTAAATCAATTAGTGAATGCTTCGCAATACAAAGCGGGCATCTACAAGTTGCATTTCGATGTGGCATCATATAACGCAGAACGTGGAGTTAAAAGTTTTTATCCTTTTATTGAGATTGTCGTACAATGTGAACGGAATCAACATTATCATATTCCGTTACTGTTAAATCCGTTTGGTTACACAACTTATAGGGGTACTTGAATGTTAAGCTGATTAATGAATTACTAAACTAATATTTGAACACACATGGAAATAAATGATGGTTATATATATATATATTAGGGTGGGTCAATTAAAAAAGTTGATTCATATCCTTGCGATTCTGGTACTATGGACTATAACAAACATTTTCGCCCAAGGAACCATACCTCTAAAATCATTTTC